ATACTTTTTAAACTTTGATCTTTACTAGGTTTGAAGACTTGTTCTATTTTTAAGGCATGGCCACACTGGAGCATGCTTCTTGTAGTTTGAGAAGACTGGATGACTTCTGATGCTAAGTGGATTATTCTCTGGAGGACTGCTAGGCATTATTGGATTTCTGTGTGGTTCATGGTCATCTTGCTCAGTGGTGGACATTGAGCAACGGTAGTCTGTTTGCTTTCTAGAATTCTGTTGTTGATTGCTTCCTGTATTTGGAAACTGTTTTATGAGATGCATTCATGTTGGTCACATATCTTTCTGGAAATGTACCATTTGGGTTTATTTATTTTTTACTTTTTTCTTTTTTTAATTTTAATTTTATTTTATAATTTAACTTAATTTTACATATCAGCCACAGATTCCCTTGTTGTTCCCCCTACCTTCCCCCCAGCCCACCCCCAATTCCCATCTCCTCAAGGGCAAAGACTCCCCTGGGGATTGAGTTCAACCTGGTAGATTCAGTCCAGGCAGGTCCAGTCCCCTCCTCCCAGGCTGAGCCAAGTGTCCCTGTATAAGCCCCAGGTTCCAAACAACCAGCTCATGCACTGAGGACAGGTCCCGGTCCCACTGCCTGGATGCCTCCCAAACAGATCAAGCTAATCAACTGTCTCACTTATCCACAGGGCCTGATCCAGTTGGGGGCTTCTCAGCTATTGGTTCATAGTTCATGTGCTTCCATTCATTTGGTTATTTGTCCCTGTGCTTTTTCCAATCTTGGTCTCAACAATTCTCGCTCATACAAACCCTTCTCTTTCTTGCCCATTGGACTCCTGGAGATCCACCTGGGGCCTGGCCGTGGATCTCTGCATCCGGTTCTCTCAGTCATTGGATGAGGTTTCTAGCACGACAATTAGGGTGTTGGCTTTTTTTTTTTTTCATTTTTGTATGTATTTAAGAAAGTTTTTAAAAATTCTTTTTACCTACCAACCACAGATCCCCCTCTCATCCTTTTTCCTGCTCCACTTATCCTTCCCCACCCCCAGCCCCCATCCCCTCCTCAGAAAGGGTAAGACCTCCCATGGGGAGTCAGCAAAGCCTGGTACATTCAGTTGAGGCAGGATCAAGCCCCTTCTCCCTGCATCAAGGTTGAGCAAAGTGTCCCACATCAAACCCCACACACTAATAGTGGGAGACTTCAACACCAATGATCATTTGTTAATATTTTTTGTATATTTACAGATTCAGCTTTTTCTGTTACCTACTAACCAAACCTCTTCACAGAAAATCTTTTAAGAAAATTCCTTTACTCTTAGCACTTTGTATTCTTATGTTTGAAGTATATACTTTTATAGAAAGTATATATTTCAATTTTAAGCCTATTTAGGTTTAGTATATATTTTGATTTTAGTATTATCCTATTTTCATGTTTTTTTTGGAGGAGTGTTATACATATACATTTCAAGAAATCACTGAAGGGAAATATTTTGTTATTTCTCTGTATTATGTTTCTTTTCCTCTTTCTGCATTTCTGTTTCATTGATAGCTTGCATTTTATTTTATTGCTTTATAATTTTGAGTAGTATCTTCTCTTTTTCTTGTTTGGTTGTTCATAAAGCTGCACATTGATTTTTCTGGTGACTGCAGTGAGTTGGGTTCCCACTGACACTGTCTCTGTGTCCTTCCATTTGTATTGTCTCCAACATTTGTTATTTAACACCTTGGGTGTGGATACTGACTGGGCAGAGAGATACCAATGTACATTAGAGAACATTTTCTTCATCAGTAAACGTGTGGAGCATGTGCTGTTTACATGTCGTCTATGTTAAAGCTTTTGTGCATTGTCACCTTTTTGGTTTATTTCTTGATTATACTATTATTTGCATTGCAAAATGTCATATAATGAGTGGATTACCTCCCATGACCTGTCATCCTCCCAGTCGTAGGCTCTTGGTCAGGTTTTTTGTGTATTTCACGTATTTCCTTTTCTGGTACTAGCCAAAAATTAATCAGATAGTATTTGATTGCAGAGAAAGCTGTCTTCACTTTATGTCACTGTTTTAGGAAACCAAGGGAAGCAGGCACCCAGCTGTGATCCAGGAAACATCTTTTCTTGTGTTGTGTGTGTGCAAGGCTGACATACACAGGATCAGCCAATGCTTGTATAAAGTCTGAGCCCAAGTTCAAGTAAACAGAATTTTTTATATGCTTTTGTCCCCTTGGGAACATCCAATCCTTCATTCACATTTCAACAACCTAGACTGACACAGATTCTGACTAACTATCTTCAGTTTGATTAATTCAGTTTACTGAATTTATACAGAACAATTTCCCTACTGAACAGAATACACCAGGAGTCATTCACAGCCCTGAAATTAAATGGGGAGGACATTAGTTACAGATTAGATGTAGTTGGGCACCACAAGGATGATGACCAGCCCGTGGCTGATCTTTCTTGGTAGATCTCATGGGCCCATGTTACATCCGTGGATGGATACACCATGCCAGGCAACTTGACAGTATGACGTTGGTGTCCACTTCAGGGTAAGGTCATTGATGACTCTTCTCCTCTACTACCTTGCACAGTCTTTAGCTCTGGAATGCTATAATAATCATGGCATCTTTGATATTTCTTAGATACTATGGTCATTTAGTGGTCAACTGTCTTCTCACCCTCATCTTGCTGATATGTAAAACACCAACAGATTTAGAGCATGAGCTTTAAGGTTTATAATTCAAAGATTATAGAACTGAGTTTTTTTGTAGAATATTTATAATTTTCAAAGTTGAGAATAAAGTTTACTTTCTTTCACTTTTTTTTTTCTTGCCTGTCTTAGAACTCACTTTGTAGACCAGGCTGGCCTCAAACTCACAGAGATCCACCTGCTCTTCCCCCCAAGTGATAAGATTAGAGGCATGCACCACCCCACTCAGCTTGAGAATTATATTTCTTATAATTTGGAATAAGTTTCTCTCTGGCATATAGTGAGTTACCCTCTTAAATTGCGAATTTTCTCTCTTTCCATCTTGCTCTGGGTAACAATGGATCCACAGTACTGAGTTAGTGTGGACAGAGTGGACACCCATGTCCCTGCCTAAGGAGATTGGAATCCTTCCACTTTTTTTTTTATGCTCATTTAGTAAAATGTTAGATTTTTATTTTCATGGCTTCTTTTGTCTTTTATGTTGAGGCATGTTCCTCCTACCCCTAGATTTCTGCAAATGTTGACAGTGAGCAAATGTGAAATTTCTCCATAGTCCTTTTATGGATTTATGGATATGATCATGTTCCTTCTGTCAGAGTCTGGAGATTTGCAGTCTTCCATAGATATATCTGTACATGTTGAAACAAG